AAATTAATACACTGTAAAATACAAATAGAAATATGAATTATTACGTAGTTTTTAGCCTCTCCAGACCTGAAAATTATTATTAAAAAAATGTAAAAGTAATGCAACAAATTCAACTTATCGTTTGTCAAGTCAAAGAAGAGAAAGATAAATAAAAAGACGTTCCAATTCCAAACCACGTGTCTTAAACTACACTCGTAGAAAACGTGTGATATGGTCGACAAATGCATTACACTAGGAACATTTTATTCATACGAAACTGTTTTCATTGGTTTTAGATGAATTTTAAAATATACTCATATTATAATAATATTATGTTTTATTTTCATCCAATTCACGAAAAAAAACTTAAACGAAACGGAACGTGTTTGACACTTTTGACAGCGTGTTTTTGTTAACCTTGCTAATAATACTGGAGTAACTGTTTTGCATTTTGGATTTGTTTTGTTGATTACGATGAGGTGCATCAACTGCGGAATAGGCGTACAAAGGCTGCAGAGGCGTCTTATATCCTCGCTTTCTGCACACCATCAAACAAAACTTTCACGTTGGTTAACCAGCTCAAACCCAGGTATGAAGTCGGAATAGTATAATACTTATTCTGTTTTTTTATGTTTTATAATGGTATGCGATTTTAAATAGTGCATCTTTTTTTAAGTTGTTTCATTTGTCAACCACGCTTCTTATTATTGTACACCGAGGCTGGTGAGCATGAGAGACTACTGGGGCATAACATGGCTTGCCTTGGTTGTGGAAAATCGGTTCGAAAAATAAGACACCATAATGTCAGTATGGACTCTCCATTGCTAGCTGGCCTAATATCACAAAATACTATTAATGTGGTAAGCATTTTGTTTTTTATTCATTGTTTTATATATGTACTTGTATTTATCTATATGAATCTATAAAAAAAGTACTCATAGTAGGTATGTGTGATTATAATATCTATCTTTATGTATTTTCCATGTTTGCATAGACTTCTTTAAAGCAGGCATGTTGTAACATAATACTTCTCACTGTACAATATCATAAAACTTGAAAACATGTGTTTATTATAACTTGGGTTTATTTTCAGACCTCAAGAAGCAACTATGTTTGTCATGTGTGCTGGATTCGGGCAAATAGACAGAGTGTGCAGGACTTATCACGAAACTAGCAGGAATTGGGTTCGGACAACAATGCCCCTTATATTCAAGTGGTTAGCCCACCAGAGCCACCACCATTACCACCTGTTTTAAGCAGGCCGCTTCAAATGGAAAGTACTACCATATTATTACCCAATTATACAGAATATATATTACAGAAACATACATTCCATACACAAACACAATAAAATACACTCTAAAATAAAAATATAAAAGTGAATTAGTACGTAGTTTTATTTTATTTGTTCTCCTTAATAAATAAATCATTATTCTTTATACATATTCTTTTGTTTTATTTTATAAATGAATAAATAAATAATTAAAACGCCATGGTTTTTAAAAGCAAAATCTTATTTCGTGCGCTTATGGCCAGTAATCTGACTAGAGGTTTAGTGAAACTATTTTCGTCTTGTTTGTTATAATTACGAGTTCTTCATGTGTTTTATTTATTGCAATTTAATTTAATAATATTCACGAATGTAAACACCAAAAATCATTGATGTACATTGAATTCAATAACTATGCAAACGCCCATACAAAAGTTGGCCATGTCCTTTCATTGAAATCTGTTCCACAGTTTTTGCGTGATAAAACATACATCCTCAAACATTTTTGCATTATTAATATTATAATAGTTATGTTTTGCGTAATAACACACAAATATTCTTACATCGATTTTGCCCAGCCACAGCGCCAACAAATACATACATATTGGTGCAACTGGCAAGCTTAATATATTCCCAAAAATTCCATCTTTAGTTAATTCAGCTTCGAATACAAACACTAACACTGAAAATAAAAAATGCCTGCAACAAACCAAAGGACCAAATTTAAGGAAATAATTTATAAAAAACACATTAAAATTCGTTTTTGTTAAATAGCACTTTATTTCTATTTACACGTTAACATAAAGAAACAATGTATTATGTGCTGACAGACAAACAAATCGGGTTAACTAATCATACTTGTTTATTTTGTCTTTATATTAAAAAATAACAAATGCATTATATAATAGAGATAACATTATTTATTATGTTTTCGGCTTACTCACGTAATAATTTGACGAGATACTCGACTAGTTTCAAGCCATGAGAGACCCATACTCATGAGCAGCATTCCGCGACACGCGACTCGGCGACCGTCGCGCTGCTACTGGCTACTCGAGTCTGCGCGGCCAACTAGTCGAGTATCTCGTCAAATTATTACGTGAGTAAGCCGAAAACATAATAAATAATGTAGAATGTCTCACGAAAGTAATAATAAAAATAGGAGATAACATTGTTCAGGGCCGTTTGTATCGAAGCTTGGGTCTTCCAAACTTTTTGTTATATTAAGGGTTTCATGTAATAGGGATAGCTATGTATTGTAAACTATATGGATGCATAATAAATATAAAAATTATGTATTTATGTACACCGGATCACTTGCTATGGTCTAACAGTTTAGATGGTTAACTAAAAATAAACAATCTTAGTCTATCTTTTTATATAAAAGTTGTCTTAAAATTGTAGGTAAAAGTGTTTAAAATCAGGTAAATTTAAATAATCTTAATAGTATTTTATACGACCTCTTAAATATAAAAATACATACCAAGATTGTTTACCTTTAGTTAATAATTATATAAATGCTATATTTGCACTATTATATCTATTAATATAATAAAATATATAAAATGTTATAACAATAATTATTTACGTTGATATATTTTGCTAACACAGGAATTGCACTTCAAACCTGTCAAATTGAAAACTCTAATGTATTAATTTTGTTCTTATTTTAATAAAAACTTACAATAAACAAGTAAATTAGTCACCATGGTAAAACTATAAGACTTTCGTTATATGAGTTAACAAATATCAACCTTCACACTATACAATAGAGTACATTTTTACATATTGTGCTGAAAACAGGCTCTGAAATAAGCGAACAATTGAGCGGAGAGAACAAAAATTTAAAAAAATATTTCCTATTTTACCATGGGCTGGTTTTTCAAATAGATAAAAGTTACCTGGGGAATAATTATGACGCTGTCGCGTCAGAATGTTCGTATAAGACAGTGACAGCAACAATTTTATTCCTCAGATAACATTCATATGACTATTGAAAAATCGGCCCTAAAAATAATTAATAATATTTAATTTACATTACACATAATTCTCATCATTAATTCGTACTATTATTTAAAAATATAATAACAATAATTCTATAATCGCTGTTTGCAATTCCGCTTGTGAAAATCGCTAGTTTCCGAGCCCTTCTGTGGGTAAAATTATCAATGACTATCCTATCAGACTAAGATCGCATGACGAATTTCAAAACTAGTCTTATAATATTGCTATCCTTTTCGAACAATCAGTGGATGACAAGGACAGCCAAATAGCCTATAAAAATCAAGCAAAAATTTATCTTTTTTCAAAGAGTGAGAGATCAAATTACTTTTAATACATTTGTGTATACTACAAATGTACATATTAAAAGTAATTTAATACATTTGTGGTATACACAAATGATTTGATCTCTTTTAGGCCAGTCTTAAAACACAAGAAACTGTTACAGCAATTTTATCTATAAAGATATAAACATATGATGCAATTTGCATTACACTTTAAATTGTTTCTGTCTCTTGCAAATCCCTAAAGAATAAAAAAGATAGCAATATTCTAAACCTTTTTGGAGCTCAAAAGAGCACCCAAAATGCATAAAGGATACAATAATACCTATACTAAATGATGACAAGTTGAAAATCGAACATATGTAATAATTTGGCTATTAACTACCTATATAAGTATAAGAGTGTTATGTATAAATATTTAATATTCCTGAATATGTAAGCGACCCGCTCCTGCTCAGTGTCAGTCATCTGTTTTCATTTACCATAAAAAGCGATGGTATTTCCCAAGTATCCCCTCTACTTTCTTTCTTCTGACCTTAGCAAACATAGCGTAAAAATAACTACAGAAATCAGTCTAGCCGTTGACACGTGATAACATATCCAAGGGAAATCGAGATTAATTTATAATACTATATATACATAAATTTTGCAATTTTCGAGATGAATTTAATGAAAATAAGGATTAATTATTTTTTATTTAAATCGAAAATTAACTTACATACATACAAACACGCACTCATGTCTTAAACATTATAAAAAATCACTAAATTTACTTGGGGCATAATTATTGAACTTCGAAACGTCACGTCGACAATTTCATAATAAAAAAACATGGAGAGCAAGATTTTGTTAAGGCTCGACAAAGAAATGAAATTCATAACAAGAAAATATTATTATTATTATATGGAAAATTTAAGGTATTACTGTATCCATACACATATACATTTATATTTTAATTTCAATATTATAATATGGAATTTATAATGATGATAAAGAAATCCATCAGTCACACAGTCCAATATATTTCAGGCCACATTTTCAAAGTGCTTAAAGTTTTCGCTTTAATTAACTCTTAAAAAAACAACTTATTTGAAATTATGTTTTGGGGAAATGTATAGAATATAATATAATAATTGTATTAGCTAAATAAATAACATTTTTCTAATGTTTTATTTTATAAATTTGGTCCAATCATTAACACCAAAAAGTTTATAAATTACATACATTCTCATTGTAAAACTCACGTTGTTGTCTCTGGTTAGCAGAAACTACAGAACGAGACCTACTACGATACTTTTTTAACATCCATCGCGTAATAGGAATAATATCAATTATTATTTTTTATGTCCCTCTGATACAAACATTAAACACGTTTTATTTTAAGATTTTAACAATACAATATATGTTATACTTATGGCAATTTAAAATATCCTGTGTGATGTCACGATTTAGTAAATTTTGTACTTAGTGGTGACGTAGTGATTCCTAAACTTGAAACCCATTTTATGTAAGTATCATTCAATTACACTGCAAAATATAAAATACGCGTCTAATATTTCATGACATCATTTATTTATTTATCATTTCAATTACGCGTGGTAACGAACATAATATATACCGACCTCACAATACATACAAAAAGGCTAAGAGCGGAGTACTCTTGACCAATGTACTTCAATATCAGTTCATAATTATTTACCATTTACTAATTATATAAATATATAGTACTTTATATTTTTCAGTTCCCCAAAACACAAGTCCACTGTTTGTAATGACATAGTACTCTGTTTCTATTATCCCCCTACTCCCATCGGCTCCTTTTCCCACTCTTGCGCATCCTCTCCGCTTTATCCTCGGACCTCTCCTCTGCCTGCGCCGCGGGGGCGTTGACCCCTGGCTGGATACTAGGCCTCGTTTGCTCCCACGAATGGTCTGTGGATGCTGTGAACTGAAGAGGGAATAAAACATAACATTATTCCTGTTTCACAATGTCTGAACCACTGTACCCCAGATACATTTTAATAGATAAAGGGTATATGGAACTTATATATGAAAGTGCCGAAATAAGTGTTAATACTTAGTAGTGGTCTATCAGTATAGGTGGTAACTAAAGGTAAACAATATTAGCATGATTTTTTATATTTAACCCTTAAATTGATTTTGTCCGTTTTAAAGGACACGGTATTTCCGTGCACACAGACGTTGTTACAACACTCCTAAGCGCTGTGCGCGGGTGGAAGGGCAGGGTACTAGCTATCTCTTTCGCGCGGGTGTATGTCGCATTAACGAAGTGATGAACGGTCGCGAATAGTGGCCATTTGAAAAAGTGCAACGGTCAGATTTGTTTACGCTCCTGTTCTTATTGATAACAACTGTAAGTATTTTGGTTGTTTTGTTTTTATTGTTATATTATTAGTTAGAATATGGTTATAGATATAGTATTTTGATAAAACTTTTTTAAATATTACTGTATTTAGAATAAAAAACTTTGCTTATTTATAGTGTCCCACAAAACGGACCTTGCCAACTTGAAGTACAAACTAGTGTATTCTTTGACTGACCCATATAACGGACATTGTCATTTATGCCTACTTTCAAGTATTCTTTTTTCTTGTCCTATATAACGGACGATGCCAATTAAATGTCACTTTTAACTTCATCGTTATAATTATAATATTTTTTACTTTTTTATCCTATTTTACAGGAACATGGCTTGGCGATCAAAAAAAATCTTCTCACTATTACCTCCGGTGGAATCTGAAGAGTCTGACATTGAGTCTGATGACGATTTGGAAGGTAACCTTGAGCGACGTGAGTATTATCGCAATAGTGACAGCGATTCATCTTCAATCCGTACCATATCTCCGGCATTGTACGATATATTGGCTGATCTCAGTGACAATGAAGATCACGAACACATGAATGTGGCAGAACAGCCATCACAGACCGCGCCAGATGAATCTTCTCCATTCCCTGGTAAGCCTTCAGCCCCATCATGTTACATACCAGAAACACCTTCACCAATAGTTAGTGCATCACCATCATCCAGTATTTCAAGACCAACATTACTATCCAATACGGCAACACGTCGCACCAGGCAAACCACCATCAAAGACTCGTCGCCTATGCCTCCACCAGCAACAACGACACCTGTAGCTAAGAAGCGTAAAATGAAGCATTTAGATTTTATATTTAAAAAAAGATTATATACCGGAACCGTGCACACATCTGACTCCCCCAACTTCAAGGAGCGTCATGACATCCTTAGCCCTAAGCAATATTTTCAAAATTTCTTCACCAATGAGCTACTCGATATCATAGTTGAAATGACAAATTTATATTCTGTACAAACTACCGGAAAATCTATATGTGTGACCCAAAAAGAAATAGAAGTATTATTAGGCATTGAAATACTTATGGGTATTGTAGACTTACCGGCAGTTGAAGATTACTGGAGTGCTGATTTGAAGTATGAACAGATTTCATCCGCAATGTCTCTTAAACGATATAGATCGATAAAACGATACTTGCACTTTTGTGATAACACAAATGTAGACAAAAACGATCGCTATAATAAAATTTCCCCTGTCATGGAATATATTCGTAAGCAGTGCTTGAAGATAGAAGAAGAACGCTCCTTCGCCATCGATGAAATGATAATACCTTACAAAGGTAAAAAAGCTGGCAGCAGAAGGCAATACATGCCAAAAAAACCTAACAAATGGGGTTTTAAGTTTCTAGTACGCGCTGGTACTTCAGGCATGGTGTATGATTTCTTTGCTTATGACGGCGCAAACACATTTCGAGGTGTCCAATTTAGTGAATGGGAAGAAGACTATCTTGGAATTGGAGGCAAAACAGTTCTCCAGCTATGTAGAACCATATCTAATCCAATTCTTAGCACAGTATACTTTGATAATTGGTTTACGTCGCTTGAACTCATATATTATTTACGGAATGAAATGGGCATTTTGTCTTTAGGGACGCTACGAAAAGATAGATTGCGCAATTGTAAACTGATGACTGATAAAGCTATGATGAAAAAAGGACGAGGAACATTTGAGGTAGTGTGTGACAATTCCAAGAAAATTGCCGTGACAAAATGGGTGGATAATAAATGTATTCATATAGCAAGTTCGTTTTGTGCCCATGACCCAGTGACTACTATAGAAAGATATGATAAGAAGCAAAAGAAGAGAGTGCCGGTACCATGTCCCCAAGTAATAAAAGTGTACAACACACACATGGGCGGCGTCGACATTGCTGACATGTTAATTGCTCTGTACAGAATTCGTATGAAAACAAGACGTTGGTACATGTCAATATTTGCCCAACTTTTAGACATCGCACTTAACAACAGCTGGCTGCTACATCGTAGAGACTGTGTTCAACTAGGTGAAAATAAATTAAGCCTAAAAAAATTTCGTGTGCAGTGTGCTCTTGCGCTTATAAATACCTGTACAAAATCTAGATTCAACGTAATGACTAATTCACCTAAACTTGCCACAATTACAAAACCGGTCCAGCCGAGACCTGTAGATGATGCACGGTTAGATTGTTACGATCATTTTCCCATCTTTACGTCACAGGGGCGGTGTCGTCTTTGTAAAAATGGTAAAACCATGATTATGTGCACAAAATGTCAGCAAAGACTTTGTCTAACTGCCAAAAAATCTTGTTACCTAAGATTCCACAAGGAAAAGTAATTATTTTTTTATGTTTATGACCTGTTATGTGTCTGAGAAGTACCGAATTATTTTTATGTTTTGTTATTTTTTCGAGAAGTTAATAGTATTGCCAAAGGAAACTTGTTTTCTAAGATTCCAAAAGTAATTGATTATATGTTTATTTCCTGTTATTTTTCGATTTTTATGTTAATGTCCTGTTCTTAGAACAAAGCTAGAAGTATTCATGACTTAATTTCTTTGTAAAGATGGCTACTTTAATGTTTAAATTAACATTTGAAGACTGATGTTTAAAAGACTGATTCTAGAATGTTCCTAATTATGATTTAATGTCAATTTTTAATTGTTAAAAATATTGAAAATGCTTACCCAACTTCACATATAATATGACAATGTCCGTTTTATGTGACGTAGTTTCATGACCCAAAACTACACATATAATGGTCAATGTCCGTTTTATGTGACATTGCAAAAACATTAAAAAAAATTAAAAAAAAAAGTTTTTTTTTTCTTTATCCCCTTTTCTAGGCTAATTTCAACCCATATGCGAAATTTCAACGTTATACACACAAGAAATCTAAGGGTGACAATTTAAGGGTTAAGAGGTTGTATAAAATACATGATACAACGATGATTTAAATTCAGTTTATTAGCTAACATGGATTTAGAAAAATACCTGATTGTAAATATTTTTACATACAACTGTTAGACAAAAAGCAATGCCAAGATTATTTACGTTTAGTCAATACGGTTGTTTCCAACTAGTCAAATTCAATACTTTTATCCAAATGTCAAAAACGATACTTTTCTATGAAAATTGTATGAAACATTGAATTATGACGTCATAGCATTTTTGCGTCAAATAGCTTACTTATTTTTAAAAAATTAGCTAAAAAATATCTAAAACTTGGTGTATCGATCGATCGATGAATAAAAGTATAGTTATTTTTCAATATTTTATCGTATTAAAACGTCGAATTAATTTATTTTTGACCTAGGAAACTACCCAATTACGTGAACCGATATAATATAGATAGTATTATCCCTAAAGGGGTATACAAAGGCACGTATAAATGTAACAACCCCGCATGGCAACAGTTCCATATAATCTAGGAACCTGGGAAGAACACTACATAAATTCATCAGAGGTATACCAAAACAATTTAAAATAATATTCATATTGATGACTTTTATTCTAAGCGACACAAAGTTCAAAATATGATTGACTAGATCAGCATTTAAATTCCACATAATAGTACAAAATCAAGTACCTGATTATACTGCGATCGGAAGGCAGCTTTGAGCGAGGCGAGTCTGTCGGTGGCGGGGCCGTGGGACTTGTCTAGCGCCACCGCGGGAGACTGCTCCTCTCTGGGAGGGGGGAGACCTGGACGCTCTTTGTAACTAAAGGAAAAACAAAAAACACTTAAATATGATTTTTATTTTACACTATCATCACCAACAACCCGACAACAAATACAGTTTCGTCAACACGGCTCATCAACTACACTCAACACCAATACTTTTGTCATTAACAAGTTTTTATACCATATTCTCTTTCATCAAAACTTTTACAAAATTTAGTTGTTTTTTAAGGCGGGATAGTCATCAAATGACTTCTTTCGCCTAAGGTATGGCGAGAGGGAGTGTCAGATTCTTACTGAGTAAACACCTCTCTATTCCTGCTCTAAACCACCTTATTATTACTAGCTTTAATTCCAATTAGCACGTACCCTAAGCCACAGCCGCCGACGTTGAGGTTCTTTCCTTTGCCCTTCTTGAACCTCGACTTGCGGAACCACGCTGACTGCATCGCTAGCTGCATCAAATCTTCAGGTACTTCCTGTACAAATACAATTATTTTATGTGATATGGTGGTGCAGTAATATCGTAATTTACGTCGTAAATCGCCCTTTCTTCTGTTTTAAGGAAAATAATGAAATTACTGTAAAAAAACTGAGACCAAATAATAACAGAAAAACAATAAGTTTCAATTAAATCATAGCACATGTGAATTTAATATCAAACTTTATAAAAGCCCCCATTCAGAACTGTTACAAAAACTTTTACGCATCCATCATCAGCCTGTTGTCGTCCACTGCTGGACATAGGCCTCCCCAATTGCACGCCACTGAGCTCGATGTTCAGCTCTTCTCATCCAACCACTGCCAGCCACCCTGCGGATGTCGTCAGTCCACCTAGCTGGAGGGCGCCCTACACTACGTTTGCCTAGACGTGGTCTCCACTCTAGAACACGTTTACTCCATCGGTCATCGGTTCTTCGACAGATGTGACCTGCCCACTGCCACTTAAGTTTGCTAATCCTTTGGGCTATGTCGATAACCTTAGTTCTCTGTCGGATCACCTCGTTTCGAATACGATCCTTCAGAGAGACTCCAAGCATAGCCCTTTCCATAGCTCGCTGAGCGACTTTAAATTGGTGGATCAGTCGCACTGTAAGTGTCCACGTCTCGGCTCCGTATGTCATCACTGGTAGGACGCACTCATTGAAGACTTTTGTCTTCAGGCTTTGCGGTATCTTTGACGAGAATACCCGACTGAGTTTCCTATACGCTGCCCAGCCAAGCTGTATCCTCCTACGAGCCTCCCTCTCGAAGTTGTTTCTACCGAACTGGATAGTTTGCCCGAGGTAGACGTACTCTTGAACAACCTCGAGAGGAGATCCATTGATGGTGATCGGCTCCGGGAGAACATGTTCATTGAACATGACCTTCGTTTTTTGTAGGTTCATCCGGAGTCCGATGCGAGCAGAGGAATCAGCCAGGCTGTTCAGCATATATTGTAAGTCCTGCACGGTTTCAGCCACGATTACAATGTCATCTGCAAATCTCAAGTGTGAGAGATACTTGCCGTTAATATTTAGGCCCCGGCCTTTCCAGCGCAGCGTCTTGAACATATCCTCCAAAGCATTAGTAAACAGTTTGGGGGAAATAACGTCCCCCTGTCTTACGCCCCGATGCAGGTGGATAGGTTCAGACTGCTGGTTCTGTACTTGAACGACCATAGTGGCAGCATCATATAGATCTCTCAACACTTGAACATACCGCCAGTCGACTTGGCACCGTTGCAAGGACTCCAGAACAGCCCAGGTTTCGACAGTATCAAAGGCTTTCTCGTAGTCCACAAACGCCAGGCATAAGGGCAGATTATACTCTTCGGTTTTCTGTACAATCTGCCTCACTGTATGTATGTGGTCCACGGTACCATATCCCCCTCGGAACCCGGCCTGCTCAGGGGGCTGAAACTCGTCGAGTCTTCGCGCGAGACGATTTGTTATGACCCTGGAAAACAGCTTATAGACGTGGCTCAGAAGAGAAATAGGTCGGTAGTTCTTCAGAAGGGTTTTGTCTCCCTTTTTAAAGAACATAATGACGACACTTTTGCCCCACGCCCTTGGAGTTCTCCCCGAGAATAGAACGGAATCAAACAAGCGTTTAAGTCGCTCAAGCACTGGCTTTCCACCGGCCTTTAGGAGCTCCGTTGTAATTCCATCCTCTCCGGGGGCTTTTCCATTTTTAAGCTGCTTCAAAGCCAACGCAATCTCGTCTTGGCTGATCTCTGGCATGTCTTCGGTAAAGTGGCGGATAAGTGTGGCCCTAGGATCCCCCGAGTCTCGATATGGACGCGGTGCTTTTGAGGTGTACAGATCACCGTAGAAGCGCCGAACCTCCTCGAGAATTTCCGGCTTAGAAGAGACGATATTACCATCCGGTGTGGTCAACTTCGTCAGATGGCTTCGATTTAATTGCTGGCTGAAGACTTTTGACCCCCGGTTTCGCTCAATCGCTTCTTTTATAGCGCGAGTATTGGCGCTTCGGAGATCACGTCTTATCAGCTTTGAGATCTTTTTATTAAGATCTGACGAAGCGACTGATGGGTTGTTACGTCGCCTCTCCATAACCTGTAGGCACTCTCCCGAAAGCTTGGCGCCCCTGCCGGTATTCTGCTTCCGCCATAATCTCGTCCCTTCGTCTCGGAGGATCCCTACTGTTTGGTCAAGTTCCTGGTCGATATCAATGTCATTTGTGGTTTCCAAGGCAGCAAATCGGTTTTCCAGTTTTAACTGAAATGTTTCAGACCCAACCACGGCTTGGAGCAAGTTTGGTCGGAGCGTAGACTTCATGAGACGGACACGCTCGGAGTCATATTTGATGTTTAGAGTGCCTCGCACAAGTCGGTGATCACTTCCGGTATTAAACCTATTGATCACTGAGACATCTCTAAATATTCGTCTCTTGTCCGTCATAATGAAGTCTATTTCATTTTTTGTCATAGCGTCGGGGCTCCGCCACGTCCACTTCCGTTGGGGCTGCTTCTTAAAGAAGGAGTTCATCAAAAATAGCCCCTCTTTTTCCAGGAAGTTAACGAGCATTTGCCCCCTATGGTTCCTGCTTCCAAAACCATGTGGTCCTACTACCGACTCGCCGCTAGTCTGTACTCCCACTTTAGCATTGAAGTCTCCCATGACAACGTTGAAATGGGCCTTTTGGGTGGTGTGTAAGGCCCTGGAAATGTCTTCATACAATTCCTCTACCTCATCATCCGAGTATGTCGAGGTAGGTGCGTACACTTGGATGACCTTTAGGTTATACCTCTTGGTGAGTTTGATCACAAGGTACGCTACCCTTGCTGACACACTGGAGACCTCAACAACGCTGTCTGACAGAGATCTGTGGACCAAAAACCCGACGCCACCCTGTGATGGTTGGTCTCCTTCCCTGTAGTACATGAGGTGGCCAGACTCCAAAGTTACGGTATCCTCTCCCTGTCTTCGGACTTCACATAACCCCAGGATATGCCACCTCACGTTTTCTAGCTCCACCTCTAACTGTGCCAAATGTTCATCGAGCCGTAGCGTGCGTCCGTTATACGTAGCCAGAGTCAGTTGGTGTTGTCGGCCTTTCATAGCCCGGAGATTCTTAGCACCCCCTACCCCGCCGTTACTATGACCGCCGACTTGGCCAAGAATAGCGGGGCGACCGGGAACTGGGGGCCGTTTCGTTAGGCGTGCCATTAGAGGTAATGCCCGTAATCACCACGCTGGGCAGGCGGGTTGGTGATCGCAGGGCGTAGCTCCTCGCACTAGTGACGCTGCTGCCCGACACTAGTCTGCTGAATTTGTCTACGCCTACATTTTATGGTTATACCGCCATGAGTCGGTCGCCAGAGCCTCGTTCGTTAATCAGCAGGATGCACCACGAGCAGGTGAGGTTGACTGGGGCACTAAGATAGTATTTTCCCCCTTACATCCCCATCATCCTTACGCATCCACATTATCACAAACCTGTTGCACTCCTTCTAGATTCCTCAAAAGGTGTCCGGCGAAGTCTTTGTCCTTGTTCTTGTCGAGCAGCGTGTAAGCATCGCCCCGCGCCCCGGCGCGGCCCGTGCGGCCCACTCGGTGCGTGTGCGTGTCAATGTCGCGGGCCACCGTGTAGTTTATTACTGTTCGGATGTGAGGGATGTCGAGACCTCGGGCTGGGGAATAAGGAAAGAAATATTACGAATTTTGCTCATATTAATTACTTTTCGAGAATGCTCGACTATTTTCGAGGTCAACTGGAGTTCTTAATTTAAAAGTTTTATTAATCATTTATCATGAGCCGAGCCCATTTTTAACGGATATCTCAGCAGAACAAAGAACAATCAATTAAGAACTCAAAGGAGCCCTATTAAATAATTCAGTTTTATACTTTAAAAGTGTCATCGTGATCAAGAATATTATATCTGATGATTTCCAGATTAATAATCCATCGTCATAGTGCGATTTCTCTCACACAAAAATCGAGTATTATTTGAATACAAACTACTACACTATATTTGTGAGCAATTGACAAAATCCTCAATTCCAACTTTACACCAAAGTAATAAGGTAGAAATTACCAGCGACGTCAGTGGCGACGAGTATGTTGTTCTCGTTTCGCTTGAAGGCTGTGATGACCTTGTTCCTGTCAGCTTGCTCCATGTCTCCGTGTAGTAAGAGAGCATCGTACTGCTGCACGCCCAGGTTGGCCGCAGTCTGCTCAGCTTCAAGCTGGAAGAGGAAGTGCAAAAACGATTTAACCCATTAAGTGTCTCATACAGACATGGCGGTAAGAGATTTACACCCGACGTGGCATATGATATTAGTTTCTTTTACTTGGAAAATATCGTCAGCAATTTCCGAAATACGATTGTGGCTTGTGGGTGGTGCTTTTTGCGTATGTTTAGTGGAAAATTATAAAAAATTAGGATGCATAAGTTTACTAAAATTCGCGGGTTACTCACGTGTAAATGTTGAGAAAAGCTCTACTAGTTTCGAACCACAGAGGGTAGTAGGCTGTGCGACGTCGCCGCGTCCGCGCACGCTGCTCATGAGGAAGAACCCCTCTGTGGTTCGAAACTAGTAGAGCTTTTCTCAACATGTACACGTGAGTAACCCGCGAATTTTAGTTCATTTAGTATGTCTCACGATAGTTATTATAAAAACAGTGATTTTCTTTTTCTTTTTCACTTAAGTGACAAACAAACTTGAAGGTTGTTTGTCGAACATACTAACATACAATCACTAAGACACTAATTATTATGTTTTTTTTTTGTTAGTATTTTATAACTCACCTTTTTTGTGACGAATATAAGTACACTGCCCGCTGATAGGAACTCGACTAAATGATTCAGTAACCACGTCCATTTCTCTTCAGGTTTTTGGAATATCCTGAAAGAAAATAAAGGGGTATAAGTTCTTGCTTTTGTAACTCATTGACATTAGGTATTTTCTGTATATCTAAGTATATCTATATTAGATAAAATTTGTAAGTTTGTATGTAGGGGGTAATGTTTGGAACCGCTAGTCGGATTTCCAAAATTGTTTCACTGATAGATAGCTACAAAGGTATTGAGTGCTATAGGCTATAAAACATCACGTTAGGATCAAATGAAGCCGAGCAGGCAGCGGGTGAAACCGCGCGAGAAGTAGCTAGTTACTCTATAAAATATTTGACACTTGAAAGTTATGAACGACACACCAGAGGCGTTGTAGGTTATTTACTGGGTTTGAAAAGATTTTTTGCGCGATTAAGTATAATACACGTTTTTTTAGTAAGTAATAATAATAGTAGTGCGTGTGTACCGGACGTGCTGCGCGACGAGATGGCAGGCCTCCCCGGCGGCGCCGTGCTGCACGCGCACGGGGTCGTGCAGCGCCTCGCGCGCCAGCCGCTCCACGCGACGCGGGAACGTCGCCGAGAACAGCAGCGCCTGACGGTCCGGACGGACGTGGCTGCAGATCGAACGGACTTGTGGCTCTACGGGAATATACATACGCAATTTCCTTATTAGAAAAAACGCTATATTATAACAATATTTTTTAAATTTTAATATTTTTTAACGTTATGGTTCAAAAGTTACAAAAGCACCTTTTTCCAAACTTTTGGAGCGATTATTGCCGAAAATATCAACATTATCGAAAAATGATCGTAGTACACCTATTCATTTATTTTTATTACCACCCTACAATATATCACACATTAGGGTTGAAATGAAAAAAATCACTCACTATTTAATAAAATATTTTTTCCACTTTTTAATTTACCACTTTTTCGGCGTAATTGATATACATATTTCTAGTGCTAATGGTCACTGAAATTATCTGCGGAGGGACAGACAGATAGATAGACAAGACAAAACCATAACGGTTCCTAGTTTACTATGGAACCCTAAAAAATCTATCATAAAGTATTGAACCACACAATTTAGCTAACTTGACATACATTTAATTTATAAAAAATTTAAGCAAACACACTCATTTCACAAATTTTATAACAAAATACTTACCAAAGACAATTTGTATCAATGCTCATCTATAAGAATTACACTAAAATAATCGTTAAATTAAATAATAAAATATAAAACTTACCAAATCCCATGTCAAACATTCTGTCAGCTTCATCCAAAACTAAGTATGTGACTCGTTGTAGGTTAGTTGCTTTACACTTGATGAGATCTATGACTCGTCCTGGAGTACCCACTATGATCTCTGCTCCACCACCTAGAATATACAAAAAGAAAAAAAAACATTTAATTCAAACGCCAAAAAGAGAGGCAAGCATAATATACTACAGCATAGAAGAAGATAGACATAATGGTATGTTGTGTGCATATCCTAAGTCCAATAAAGATCCATAAAGTGTTGTTCTGGGTGTAATGTGTATGTGAAATTGTATGTTTGTAAACGCACCTACGACACAGGAGAAAATCGTAGTGTGGGATAACGATTTTTATATAAAAAAAAAGGAAGACCGGTACGTGCGCTTGTATTCTCCTACCTATGACGACCAACCAAAGACGAGAACAACAGCAATAAAGTACAAAAAAGCAGCAAATTTTATAGTCATCTACTATAAAATTTCCTTTTAACTAGTACCTTCTTTTCTTTTGAGAAAATTTCGTTTACAATGAAATTGTATGGTCTTGTATGCATCTACAAATTCTCAAATATAAGAAATATACACATTATACCCAGTCCCGAAACAAAAATTTACTCATATCACATAACTTGCTCTGTGCGAAAATCCAACGCCCTTAGATTAGGGTTGGCACAACCATTCAGGTTTTTACTATTATTTAAAACAATTTCTTTTATATTATTTTTAAAAATGTCAATATAATATAGTGAAAAGACACCCAACCTTCTAACGCCTTGCACTGCTCCCACTTGGAGCCGCCTCCGTAGCAACAGACGCATCTAATATTGTACACTTTGCCAAAACGCTTCGCCTCCATGTAGATCTACACAACAACATTAATCTTGTACTTCACATCCTGTTACTTGTATTATTGATAATAACAATTATTAAAAGATTATAACTAGTAGTTTTTATATCATCGTAGTGGCCCGGAAGTTAAAACACCCGCTTCTAATGATTCGAGGATTATTTTGAAAGGGGGTGAAGGAAAAGATCTTTGGGAAACCTGAACTTTAATTAATGTCTATTTATAAGTTTTAAATCGCTAATTTGCCTGAAAAGCATGGAAAGGACACGAGTTATAATCATCAGTATTACTATTCTTATCACAATATAAATACCCCGCTAGTATAAGAGCTTCGACTTTTACATTATCATTCTAATATCAGTAAGAATTTACCTGTTGTGCCAATTCTCTAGTGGGTGCTAGGATGAGTCCAATGGGGCCCTCTCCTGGCGCTAGCTCCTTCTGGTCCATGATGTGTACTAGCAATGGCCACAGGAACGCGGCCGTCTTACCAGAACCCGTTCGGGCGATACCTGTAGGTTGTAGGGAGAATAATAATTTAATTTACTAGTGGCCAGCCCGTGTTTGTTTAACACGGATTAAGTTGAATGGGGATCCAATGACCTCAGTGTCAGTCATTTGTTTCGATAGCGAAGTACCCTGGTATGAAAATTTGAAAGGGTTGCTATTTCCCGAATTTACACTCTACTTGTCGAAAATGTTCTTTCACAAAATAAAAAAATTAATACGATTGTTCCAGGCGTTGTTATGTGCTTACCAACACATTTTGCGACTATTGAAGAACAAAGATATAGAAATTAGTGGCAATCACGAGTGCCAACCAATCAGAATATTGGTTTTTCTGCCTTCAAATATCTCTCCATAGTATCATGACGGAATGAATGTAGAATTGGTGCCTTATCACGGCAATAAGACCAAACAATGACTATATTTATGAATAGTAAATCTAACATTTGTGTATCTTAGCTTATCACTATGGAATTTTAAAGGCGATTTATAAGAACAAAAGGTTTAATATCACAGCTGCGTTACTTGAATTATTTTACTGGGATTTAAATAATAAATATCTTTTAAATCATATAATTTATCTATAAAATGCCATCTTACCTATGAGATCCCGACCAGACAATGCAGCGGGCACACCGGCAGCTTGCACGGGTGTCGGCTGTGTGTACTCCGAGCGACGGATTGCCTTCATCAGCTGTTCATCGAAGCCCAGGTGAGCAAAACTGCTGACGGGTTTTGGTGGGTCTGGGCCTGATATCTGAGGAGAAGATGCACATGTTTTAATTCAAATCATCATGTATGATTATATCTAGAAGAAAACTACCAGCTCCAAAAAGATTTGGAAAACTTCAAACAAGCATTATACATAAATATTGAAAGAAGTAGAAAGAACTTCTTTAAAAATTTTACAATATAATTACTAAATATTATATAACAAACTTGCTGTCTCTGTCCCTATTTCTATATCCATTTGAATGCTTAAATAATTAAAACTATGCAACAGATTTTGATCCATTTTTATTTAATTTATAGAATAATTGAAGAAGACCATTTACATGTATAATAACATGCATTAAATAGTGGAGTAATTTAGAATCAGGATTGGACCCGTGCGAAAGTGAGGTGCATCACTAGCATATGTATAAAAATTCAATGAATTGTTACTCACTTTCACACCTAAATTCTTCTTCAACTCCTCAACTTGCTGTGGTGTTAACTTCTCAATATCCTCATGAGGAGTGTAAAAGTTTTTCTCAAAAGGCTCATACTCAATCTCAGAATGGTCTATGGGTGGTAATGGGTCAATGAACTTCTTCTTTGGTGGGGCAATGGGGTTGCCATCCTCATCATATTCTATCTCCATATCAGAACCATCATCACCCTGGTTCAAGGGATTATCTTCCATATATCTGTGAATATGCAAAAGTAAAATCTCTGTAGATATTTAATCAAAGGTTGACAGACTAAATAAATCTGCTATAGAAATTGTAATATTGATTTAATTATGTTTTCTATTGTTTGTCATATACAATTATGAGATTGATGGTGATAGCAAGAAAAACTCAATATATATGTTTCAAATTGATCTTGATATGTTTTCCTTCACCATTTACCAAAGGTGCCTTAAAATGTACATAATTTAAGCCTTTGACTGCCGACAGAAAACTGTTGAAGGTAAATCCTCCGCTAACAGAGGTCACCGGTGACCCCCATGGCGCTTAACGTGTTAAGAAAGTCATAATTAAAACTTTAGATCTATTCAATAGTATGTTGTTCAAAAAGAGTCAGGAGGTGTCTACAACCACTGCTTACTTGTAATAACTCTCTTCATCATCCATTTCATCAATGTCTCCTCTTGTACCTCTCCCGCTGTCTCCCTTCCCGCTGGCTGCATTTTCCTTGCTAGCCACCAGGTCCTTAGCTGCTTGTTGTTCCAAGCCAGCCATGTAGGCATCCAGGGGATCTTCTTCATCTTCTTCTTGCACCTATAATAAAAATATTTAGATTACTTACCAGCTAAGAATAATTTAATAGTTACACTTTTGGCAGGTGGCATTTTGATTTCTCTAATGTTTCTTTAAAAAAAATATAGTTAAGAGAATATTCAAATTCTGACAGCATGTTCACCCGTGAAAAATTGTGAGAACCCCTTATGAAAAGAAGCACATGACTGTAATCTATCTGTGTGCTAATTTTCATCAAAATTCCTTCAGCAGTTGTTTGAGTGAAAATGTAACAAAAATCCAACCTGTTTATAACATTAGCAATTTTTACCTGGTATTAAGGTATTACACTTCAACTTTGCTATGAGCATTGTCATTGCTGTACTGTTTTTCAATGCTGATTCATAAAGAATTAGAAACATCATGTGAATTTGAAATGCTTGACAAGACAAACATTATGCTACATTAAAAAGTTATTTATCTGTAAAATGCAACAGTACCTTAGAACTGGATCCAGCTTCATATGTAGGGCTTCCAGGAGCAGGGATGTATGCCAGTGCTGGTGTCGGAGGCTCATCATCCTCATCGAAATATCTAAATAGCAATCAATTAATAATGAAAGTAGTAAAAGTGTTATTTTTATCAAACATGATAGTTTCATTGAAATTGCATACTATGAAATTGAAACATTAATTGACATTGAAGTAACTGATAAAGATGTCTAAGATTCCTCAAACTTACTCATCTTCAGTCTTTGATCGCTTCTTCCCCAATGAGCCCCAGTTACCAGTAACGGCATTCTGAGTTATAGCACTCATAGTGGAGTAGCCCTGCTTCGACAGACCGGTGGAAGGAGGTGGCACAGCATGCATCGGCGTCGTTGGCGGAGGTACCGCATGAAGCGACACATTAGACGGATTACGCTTCGGCATCGTGAAACCAGCGAACCCGAAGCCTTTGCTACCACTTCCGCCAGAATTATAGCTCATTTTGTGTATTTAAAGACTATTAATTAACAATAAAAACACCCCGCAGGGAATCTATTTTCATTACCACCTTAAGGTTATTTATTAATGTTAATAACTAGTCTTTTACTAATATTCCACTTCAAAATTTATATAAGTTTCTATAAGTACACATTATTCGTAATTTAATTCGTTATTTTCTTATAAAAACAATAAGAATCTATCAGCCCGAACGGGAAAACGAAAATGACAATTACAGCGCTTGTTGACAACTAATATGTAATGTTGCACAGTGTTAAATTATTTGCTGTGCTAAAAACAAGTTTAATATTTATATAATTTTATAGGTAATTTTATTTTAAATTTTGGCTTAGTTTCAAATAACAAAAATCATATTGAATGTTTTTATATTTCTATTCCATTATCATTATTTACGGTTTTCTAAAAAAAGCTTGTGTAATTTTTTTTACTTACTAAATTAACTATTCGATTAGAGCAACCCTAAACCAGATGACATTTTACGTTTGACATATGACATCTCACCAGTGCCTGTCGTGCATGACGTGACAAAAAGAAAAAAAAGCAACACAAAACGAAAATCGCGAGAAAATTTTAAAAATAATTTCTTCAAATCTCCAGTACCAACAATGAATTTCAAGCTGTGTGTATTTCTATTCACCCTACTAACGGTAACAAATGTCGAAGCAGCCCAAGGCTACGATTTCGGCGACTTTTTGGCGACAGTATTAGGACTTGGAATCGCTGCTATAGGAATTCTTGCTTGTTTAGGCAAATATGCTAGACAACAAGCACGAAATGAGTTCATATAAACTACCGGTGAGTAGATTCAAACCAAATCGAATAGTTTCTTATTATACTTTAAAGTCAGTAGCTCTTTCCTTAAAGAAATCATCAAAACCGGTTTTTGCGTCCTTGTGTTAACGATACAATTAAATTAATATGTTGCCCAATAATGCGCAGTTCTAACAACACGCACCGAAAATGTGTCTAATGATATAATTCTTTTATTTTACAGACATGCAAGAACTGAAAAAGGAAAGATGTGATAAACTGATTAAAAATAACTTGTAACAAAATAAATAAAAAGCAAACTGTTCAAATAAACTTCGCATTAAATCAAATATGTTTTAAGCATCACTAATTGTATGAATGATTATGAATTGTAGAGGGAAGTGTATTTGTAATTAGTCTTCATACCATCATTATCATTATAAGGCTATCATAATATAAGTAGGATGTAAGTATATTTTTTCTATAAAATAATCTATTTTCAAACAAAAAAAAAATACGTGCATGAAAATACTAAGGAGGAATTTATCATGTATCATTATATTTTGAAACCTTTCAACATTATATCTGAACTTGTCATGTTAATTTTCTTTTATGGTTATTATGAACAAGTTTTTTATTGTTTTATCTGTACAATAGGCAAAGGCTTTTCCTTAAATATAATGTGATATTTCTTGTATTCTTTGAGATGTCTCCAGGTTGGAAAGGCTGTATTTTTATCTTTATTTTTTGTTAAACTTAAATCTCGAATTCAGAATTTCAATTTTATTAAATGTTTATTTTTGATTTTCAGTATGAATGTATTTTTATTTCTATGCTACCTGTAATAAACACAATCACATTCCTTTTTAAAATTAGACAATGGGATTGGGTGTTGCAGAAATAAGTAGATTTAGAATTGTTTTGTAAATAATTTATAATAAAAGAAATTTTCATCATTATGCACCCACTCAGAGAACACATTCATGCAATCTATTGACATAATTCATAGTTTGTTGTCAACAACAATAAAATTTAATTCAATTTGGTATAACTTATTCACTATTTTTCTCTAAAAGTTCAATTTCTTTGATAATGTCATTTTTCTTTGACATTTTCTCTTTTTGATCCTTGTCAGGAGTTTTGAGGATACCACTCTTGATCTTTTCCTCTAGAGTTTCAATTTCTCTGAGTTTCTTTCTTAAGTTCTTAAGACGTTTCACTGGGTCTGTGGCAGAATTGGTGGGTGTTGAAGGGGAGGGGGTGGAAAAGTTGGGTTCTGTTATCTCACATTTGGCAAGTTTCTCTGCTGCCTCATCAGCACCTGGGAAATAACAGATGGACAAAATTAATATTAATTGATCTAATAAATAAATGTATTTAAGAATACTATCAAAATAGTCCTAAACTCCTTTTTTTACACAGCACATAAATACATATCTTTTATTTTTTACACATCTAATTTAAAATTCAGAAATTACAAGTTTCTTTTTACATAACTACAGAGAAAGTGAGACTTGGTCATGATCAGCATTCTAATTAATTATTACACTTTTTTTATTTTAATTAGATAGTTCAACTACCTTCAACTTATATATATTATTGTATTTCATTTATATATTATAGACTTATCAGCAACAGTTAGCAGAGCCTTCTTGGAGATAAGCAATACACTTGAATATGTATCACTATAACCTATCTCGTGTTATAAATATTTTATATGAATAAAATTATTCAAGCAACCAATTATTACTGCTGTGAGAAGTCTTTGTTAGAAAACCTTAGAGAAAGTACACCCACCAGACTTCTTTTTCTTCTTCTTTTTGTCCACATTGATGAGCATGCCTGGAATGGGCTGAATGACACCAGGGTTATTCTTCTTCTTTTGTGCTTGGGCTGCTACCTCAGGGGGCAGACCCACTGGAAGTCCAGTATTCTGGCGGGCTTTGAACTGCTTGCCCTTACTCTCATATAGGGGGACCTCCTCTTGAGGAACATAACCATCCTTGATTCTCCGTGGCTTACGCCAGGTACCGTCAGGACGCTGTGTCGCTGGGATAAACTTACACCCTGAAATTTCGAAACAATTAATTTAGTAGTTATAACAAAATTAGCAGCAGAGTAAAAAGAGATGACAAATAAAAGTTTGGATACTGTCTTTTATACCTACCCTGAGGTCTCAAGAGCATCGGATGGTATGGCGAAGCGTGTTGTTAATGATGCTAATAAGCAAAACGACAAGAATGTTATAATTGACGCATCATAAAGTTTAATAATTTATCATTTGAAACATTTGCAGAGCAGACTTTCACTGACTTAGCATTTGTTCATTGACCGCACGAAAATAAGGAAAGCCAGACAAATATCATCACGCACTCAGTTATACGCTGCAAAATTTCTAATAAAATAAACAAACGATATGAACTTATTAGAAAAAAACAAAGAAGCTTACCATCAGCATCATGCTCATACGCTGTTGTGGCCATCATAAATCATTGATTAATTGAGGATAATTATTATAAATTAAACACTCCACAACCTGGAAGGTAGGCCTTGCGAAATTCTCTTCTCGTTTCGCTATTTTCGTACACAACTATTTTGACAATTGACAAAAAGTCGAAAGATTTTTTTTCTTTGTAGGGATGTTACTTCAACTGTCGATAACAGTCGAAAAAGTTCATGACAGAAACAAACGTTTCAGCTGTTACATCGCAGGCTTAAGTCTTACTTAAAAACCGATACAGTATAGTATGTTAAGTTACACCTCTAGTCCGATTGCCTGTGTTAAAAAATGCTGAAGATAGGTAAGCAAGTTTGTTTGACAGCGTCTTTCAAAGTTAGAATTTCGAATTTTATAATTGTTTTGTTTAGATTATATATTTAATTGTTTTAATTAATTACAATGCCTAAAAGAAGGAGGTTATTTACGCCATTAAAGATTAGGACTGCAAAATCACCACACAGTAGTGATGTCAGGGGTGAGTAACGAGTCAAAGTTTTCTAAAGTTATAATATTAGTCTGCTGTTATGTTTACTAATTTTGTAATGCATTTTAAAGTTTAGCAAATGTATTTTATTTTAAAAATGTGAAACACAGTGTGTACAATGAAAAAGTACCATAATATTATTAGAAACGACATTGAAAATACTTAGTTACCCATTAATTACCAGAAAGCTTTCTAATTTTTCGCATTTAATTGCAATAGAAGTGGCCACCGCCCGTGGGAGGTTGAAAGGAGCTTTGATGGATGTCCTGGACCCGACAGCTGATGAATCTGATGCGTCATCAGACTATGCCCCAGAGAAAAGAGACAGGTAGTTGATAATTGTGTAAAACTTTCTAGCCTTTTTTCTTGGGGCAAATTATCAAATGACTTTCTCAAAAAGCTACACTGTTCTTTCTCCTGCTGTCCTCATCTTCACATTGACAAAGCAAAGCACTCTATTGAATCTGAAACAGGTAGCTGTTATGATATGTTCAGCAGCTGCTTATTGAACACTAATGTTTTCACTTCAATCCAATAAGGATCTCCTGAGGAAGCTGTGGTGCCTCTCTAATCACTCCTAAAAAATCTTTATTAGACATAGAGAGAATTGGTAACAGCATAATCAAATATATACTTGCCTTGAGGTCTAAGATTAATAAAAATTTATAATAATATTTACTAAGTTTAAGCTAGATTTAACCATTTGATCAACCAATCCACTAAGGGGATAATAAGTTTGTATATATCAATAGAGCATTTTATAAAGGAGTTCTATCAGTATAGTCTGAAAATGTGTTCCTTGCCATGTAAACAGCTCACCTTGTAACATGACAATGTTTAAACTAACAACTAAAGCTAACTCATTTCTGAAATATAAAATATTTAAATAACTGAATGATCATTTAAATTAATAACTTTAATTTTCAGCCAAGAATACAGGTCAGATGATGAAGACAGGTACAAAAGGAAGAGGTCTCCGCACCGACAGTCCTATGTCCTGAAGCTGTTTGATCGAAGTGTAGACCTCTCGCAGTTTAGTGAGGAGTCCCCCTTGTATCCTATTTGTAGAGCCTGGATTGTTAACCAGCCGAGAGCAAACTATAGTGCACTTGGGTAAGTATTTCAATATTGAAATAATTTTTAATTTCATCTTTCCACCTGCAACATCTTATTATTTCTGTAGTGAACTTATAATTCATACTGTTAAATAAAAAAATAATGCTTATTTCTCTTTCAGGAAAAAAGAAGAGACTGAATCACAATCAGAAACCTTGGAGTTGCCTGGACCGGAAGGACCACATGTGTCTAAGATACCTTCCTTATTACCTGAGCAACAGAAGGCAGACAAAAATAATATAAACTTAAACTATGTGAGTTCATGTTTCTCTTTTCCTTCTGATGTACATAATAATATTTGGGTATTACAATCAGTTTGGTGGTTATTAATCAACTAAAGGTAAACAATTTTGGTATGAAGATTATTTAAAATTATTTTATTGCTAACATTGATTTAGGTAAATATGGTTATAAACTTTTTTACAAAAAAGTTAGCTACAAAGACAATCAAGATTAAGCAATTTTGGCATTGCCTTTGTAGTTTACGTAATTAACTATGTGTTTACATTTAGTTAATTACCTTAACTGACAGTCAATAATAATATTTGGTTATACAAATACTGCATTGTTTATCTAAGAGCAATACTAACACTGAGGAGCGACAGTAAAGTAGTATTCATTTATGACCAACCCTAATTTGGCCATAGTGAGAACAGTCTATGGGATTGTCACTTTCGCAGGCGGATAATGATGATCTAAAACAGCTTTAAACACGTAATACAACATTTTTTTACATATTATCAGCGTGAAGCTCCACCGCCGACGAAGGAGCAGCTCCTAGCTTCACATTCGTCTCGCTGGGTGGCGGTGCGACGAGCTTGGTTAGAGCAAGCCGCTAAAGTGGAGGCGCGCTACGAAAACACACAGCAAGTTCTAAATAAGATTAATGTCAAGTATGTATCCGCATAATTACATTTGCATTGATATTGCTTTTGAAATACTCATTGTTTTCGTTGTCTTTCTTGTGTCAAAGAAATGATTAATAATCTAGATATTGTGTTGCTAATTGTCTATACATACATATTTGGAATTTTGTTTTAAAACTAGATAACATGCTCATGATTATTTGTACTATAGGCTAAATACACAATTCTTTTATTTTCAGTGCCATCTAATCACCATTGCTGTCAAGACAAGATCTAACACTATTCACTCAAAAATTTTGATTTATTTACAAATATTTTATACTAAGTACTTTGATTAAAATCCAATCATGTTGATTTGACGAAAGTGTGAAAATGAAACAATAAGAGTTTTTATAGTGATTTATTGTAAATATAAGATTATAGTGATTTTATCAATCATGCACTTTTTCGTTTCTTCTTACTTTGTACCTGTAGCTGTGGGCAGTCTGACTGCTTATGTCCTTTCTGTTTGCAGTTAAAGCACGACTGTAAATAAAAAATAACACAAAATTACATTATTAATCAATCATAGATATATATAATATTCATTAAATAGTCTAATAAAGACCTTATCAATGCTTTCGGAGCTGCGCCAAGAGACGCGCGTACCCATATGCATATGAATTGTCATATAAAACAAGTGTAGCTGCTTGCCTTCACCAAACTTAATTGGACTCTGGTTTCAATTCATTTGGTATAAAGAATTAATTTTAGAATTTAACAAAAATCTATTCAATTTTTGAAAACAACTCTTTCAACTTCTTTCTTACCTGGCTTTCAACAACAACACCGCACACATGGTTCCGTTGCTGGCAACACTTCTCACACTCCTTACAATGGAAGAAAGTAGGCTTAACACATCTCTTGCAAACATCACAATGTTTGTATGTCATTCCGTTCTTACTCGTGCAGCTGCCACATTTATGGCAGTGATTGTTTGAAGTCGCCACATAGAATTTACACTTGTTACACATTTTGTAGTTACTGTCATTAGATAAGTCAATGGTCCGTAATGGCAAGTTGGTAAAGAAACGGATGGGTGACACAAATTTTCTACCATCTTTTGTTTTGTTCAAGAATTTCTTGTGGTTTGTGTATTCAATCTGAAACAAAGGTAAAATAATCATGCTAAAAATATACAAAACACAAAATCGCCTTCTTGATTTATTCACAAAAAATTATGTCTGGATTATGGATAGATATTGATAGTTTTTTGAAAAATTTCAAGTGGAAGAAAAATTTGTAAAACTTATTTACCTGGTAATCATGCATTTTGATCTCTGGAGCCATGTTGGTGATGTAAGGCTCAGAGAAGTATGGGAATGCCCATAAGACAGGCAATAGATCATCATCAGGTCTGTCACAGACATTCTTGTAGGTTGCTGTCAGCTCCTTCAAAGTTTGGACCAATGGTTCTACACGGCCACCAAATGGAGGATCCATCACTATACAGATGCCTCCATCTCTGGAAATTTAAATAAGTCATCAATAAAAAACCAAAGCACTCTTTGAGAAAAAAAATTATAAGGTATTTTTTTTAATTATTTATCAAAAATGATGATTCAATGTGTACAAAGGTGGATTTAATGCCTTAGGCATTAGGTGTAAGCTAAATGTATCAATAAATTCAATCCTCTGACAATATTTTAGTGTTTGTTTATGGCATATTTGCAAACTGTTCCATTAATTGTTTTGAAATTTTCTTATGGTTGCAAACCTTTTTTTTATTTTATTAAATAAAAATAAACTTAACTACTGTTAAAAAAAATAACTTTCAATATTCAGTCAAAGATTTGATTAAATTTTACCACATAGAGGCACATGAAAAAATGAAATCCCAACCTGTCCCTACCACAATTTTGCGAATGAATAGAGGAATCTTTTAAAATGATCTTACTTGGATTTCTTGAAGAATTTTTTAAGCACCTTCTCATCCTCATTGCCATTGAACATGTAGTTGTTGAACATGTTATACCAGATAAATTTGTTTGGTGGATAGAAGTTGCAATGTCTTTTGTCATAGTCCAATAGGATGGAGTTGAAATCTGATCTGGACTCTGCTTCCTCATGGATAGATGGAGTTCCAATGCAGAGGATGTTGCTGAAATATTAATAATTTATACTTTATACATAATATAAGTATAAAAGAGAACCTAATCCTTCTTTTCTCAGTACAAGGATCAAATACAAAGTTTAATAAAATTCTAAATAAGTGCCGTCTTCTTGGTTCGAAACAATTAAGCATTTTATAACTATTCACATAAAATCCTGAGGAGAAACAAACAAATAAATGCTTAGTTCGTTATGTGAAATGAAATAAATTTAATTTCTAACACCAAAATCATGGTCTGTATTTTTAATACCTAGCATCATCATGTTCATTGACAATAAATCAACTAAAGTTAAATTACCTAATATTGTTATTTTTAAGTATTCCAAAGACAGTAGTGACAGATTTCTTTGTGAACATGTACTGTGCTTCAACAGAATCATTTTCCAACATTGGTAGCCATGTAGTGGGCCTGCTAAGTTGCTCATCTGTTAGTGGAGTGATAATCCTGTGGTCCTTCGCATGTTTCTTAGAAGGTTGAGACACTATATACAGATCTTCGCAAGTATTACAGAATGCTCTGTCTACATAGTGTCTGGATTTCACCTGGAAGTGAAGAGCACTTGATAAAAGGATTATTTGGACGCATTACACCATATTATTTAAATATATTTTTTTTAAACTTATTTTGATAGAGCATGTAACCATATTCTCAACACTAACAACTAACAGATATATAATTTAATTCAGAAAAAGTCACATTTTTGTGTTTATATACAAAACTAACCTCAATAAAGTTACTCCATGCTGCAGCTTTATCATTCTTCGGAATCAAACTGTAGTACTTTTCATTGCGTTTCCTTACGCTCTCCTTCTTCCAGTCTTCTTCGTCTATGTGTACGGTGCATTCCTTATTCCTACACGAGGCACAAGCGAAATATCGGCCTTTTTCTGTTGAGAATAACAACGTCGGCCCGTGCAAACATAAAGGATGCGTAGTTACGTCCTCTATCACCACTTCCACAGGTGAAGACTTCTGGCCGTTAGGGTCATTTGTTTCCAGTTTATGTTTTCTAGGCATTCTTATATTTTATTGCCGCAAAAGTAGCCAGAAAATACAACTTTATTTCTAGACACACGTGAAATTGACACTACAGAACATTGAGATAGAAAATATATAGAGGCGCCGTGTTACTATAGAAGTATACATGCTTATACAAATATGAGGGAAATATGAAACAAACTATGAAATATCATTTTTTCTCACTCTTTCTAAGGCAATAATTGTATTAGACAAAAGGGACAACAATATTTAAGTTGTTGCTTAATATGGAAACAAATCATTTTGACATTAGCAAAGTTGTAAGTAAGTGCCATGTCCGCCATCTTAAGCGCTCAGAGTACTTGAGTTTCATGGTAGTTGTCCTGTCAAACGGTTGTTTATGTTTTAAATTATTGCGGTTTTTCAGTAAATTACAAAGAACCATTTTTTTAAACTTCAAATATATATAGTGAAACAAAAAAACAATATGCCTGTGTGTTGTATTGTGCAGTGTGGTGCAAACAAGAACGAAAATCAACCTCAATTGTCTTTGTATAGGTTAGTAAACAGTTTTCATCAAATATTACTTAGAATAATCCACATAGATAGAAAAAAATGTCACGGATACTTTAATCTATTGCCAAAGTATATATATTTACTTTTACTTCTGTCTGTGAGACAGTTTTAGTAAAAAAATGTTGTTTACAATAATATGTCAATATGGCATAGTTACGTACCATTTCACAAAAGTATCGATATAATCTCCCATTTAAAATTCAACATATACTAAATAATCTATTTTAACAATGGATGTTTCCGCAGTTTTGTGTAACGCTAAAGTAAGACGTCAGTATTTTAGTATTGGTTTTAGTTACATAAGTAGAAGTTCAAATTATCATGTTTTATAATTATACGGGCGCGATTGACAGAGCGGCGTTGGCGACGATCCCAGTGCGACCACCAAGCGTAATAATAAAAAGTGAGATACATACAATAAGATTGACTTCACTACATAATTATCTATTTTGTGCTAACGTAGTTTCGAAGATATCATCGCTTAATCAGACGCGCCGAAATTGTGCGCGAGCACTTCACAAATACCCACAGGTTTTCCACATATATAAAGATAAACATTTAACAAACACTATCTTTTTCTATTTCACCATTCCATTAAACGCTGTTCATAAACACAGTCCTATTTTTTTAAAAGACGCTTTACGTAGAATTATATGAATACAAATTCGACTTGAGAAAATCATTAGCCAATCAAGAGACCAAGTTAACCCCGGGTTCCGGGCTCTAGCTAGGCCGACGGCAAAGTAGGAACAGGAGTTGATTTTAGTCAGTAACGGTCTGTCCCGAAAAAGGCCGGAGATGACATTAGATGATTTCCCATAAAAAAATACCGTTAATCAGCTGGCTAATCCCTAAAACTATACCTACGTAGAACTTTTACTCAAATTGTATCGATACTCGTTAAATACTTAGTCGGCACAACCCTAGCAACGGCAGCCATCTTATGCGACATTTTGGATTGTAGGTAGGCACCTTTTTTTCGTAGGTATTTCAAGTCCATATATTTCCTATGTCAATGCTACAGAAACAACCACCCTGCTTCCCTATTGTCAAAATGTCATTAAGTCCAACTGTCATTTGACAATTAGTGTTGTCCAATATAGAATTTGTTTACTGTTTTTTCGTATGCTAACCTATATCACATAGCACACAATATTTCAGGTTTTTAGAATTTAATAAATCCATATAAATTTATGATATAAATTATTTAAACCTTTCTTATGTTATTTTTGTTCTACTCGATTATTTTATTACACATCGAAAACCTTGCAATTATTAAAAATATGTTTCGGCTTACCACCTCTTTTATAGTTTATGGCAATTTTGTAACACCGGCTCAGCAGCGTTCTATTGTAGCTTCTGACACTTTTTCGAATAATTTCAAGAAATTAAGTAAGAAGTGACACAAGAATTTCTGAAAAATGAACGGTTTAGGAAGAACCGCAACGCGGCTGATACAGAATTGCGTCAAAAACACAACTTTGACTGGTGCCTTAGTAAATCGCGCCCAGGCTCCTGTAAAACGTGATTTCACTAGGGGAATATGGCACATGAGCTGTTCAAAGCGGCTGGATGGGTCTGCTACCACTTCAACCCTTCTGCACAATCACTCGAACACATGCAGCTGCGGTTGTGGCCTGAAAGCGCTGCACACAAAAGGTAATTTGTGGTACTCTTCGACTTAATGATTTTGAGGTTATGTGATTGCACCACACGCGAAGATCACGCTATAACTTATTTCTAAGTACATGCTTTACCATCGAGTCTCCATTATTATGTACCATATATTTAATTTGATCTCTAACCATTTAAATGTAATACTGCGTTGTTCTCCAGAAACTGAAATTGAACCACCGAGTTCTCAACTCAAACCCAGGCCCCTTGGTGAGTCCTTGTTTCCCGTTCCCTTCCTTACACCAACTTATCCGAATTTCCCAAATAAGGTAAGCTTATTTCTTGAGATAAAGTAATTTGTTTTATTAATATGTAGTATTGGTTAGAGACACCCTTTCCCTGCACAATTGCCACACTGTGCCCTCTAAAGAGGAGGAGTTCAGAGCCAGTTGCAGGGTACATTGTAACCATGTTCACATCCAAGATCATGGACCTGTGTCCTGTTCTTGCATAAAAACTTGGGACATTAATAATTATAATAGTTATGTAGATGTAGGTATCTATTAACTAACTAAATACATAGCCATATACATATAATCATTTCTAACGAATATGCATAGTTGATAAGTTTTCTTGCCCCAAAATTGACTATAAAACAATAATATAAAATGTCTAAGCTGATATTCCAAGCGGTAAGTGCTGCCCCAGTAAAGGGCAATGACATTAGACGTTCATCTATTTTTGTCTAACAAACTTTTTCTATTACTAAATGAAAGATAAGTTTACTCAATACTTCCTTGTATGCTGTAATGTGCCACAAAACAAAAGGTATTTTAGACAAAAAAAAATTATGGACCCTGTTAGCTCAGCAAAGAGAATTTAAGATTTATTCTGCTTCCATTATGTTCAACTTATGGCAAAATTGAAGCATTTAATTTGTATAATTTATTGAAAATAATTTTCAATGTACTTCCCTATCTTATGTAAATATTGCATCATACTTGCTGAAATGTTATCTTCACTGATAAACATTAGCTAGGTGCAGAAAACCTGTAGGAAATAGTAGAAATATGGCTTTTAAATTGGTTTACCCTATCTTGAAAAAGTACAAGTACAATTAGTAAATGTATTTATAATACCAGTAAAACCTAGTTTTTGTATTTGTAAAAGTATCCTCTGACATAGAGTCTATTTAATAATAATTCAAATTTACCTTACTTGTTTTCCATATACCAAATAGAATTGAGAAGAAGGATTACCTAAACCTGTTTGAACATTATTCATCTATTAAAATAAATATTTCTAGGTGAGAGAGAACTGGTAGAGTTCCTGACTGAGGAGATTGTAGCTGAACGCAAAGCACAGAAAGTGAAGGTGTTACCTACTGAACTTGAAGGTTTTGTTATCTGTGGAGATGGTGCTGAGGTTGTCCTATCTAAGAAGCTCAAGGATGAACTGTAAGTATGACATGTTATATTATAACTATCCACTCATAAAATGCTTTTTTTGTATTTACTTTTTTGAACACTTCATTTGTTTAGAATATGGAATGGAAAGAATTTTTATTTAGAAAATCTTTGATAAATCCCCTCACAATTGCCACGCTCGACGTCGCCATGCAGTGGCATGATCGGGTGCCAAGTGTGGGGTACAGTAATGCAGTCAAGTAGAATACCATTGCGCCAAATGCCAATGTGTATGGAACAATACTGCTACAAAATAATAATTTAAACTAAATTGTTAGTTGTTTAAAAATACCTTGATGAGTAAATATAACTACTGCCCAAAACTACTATATTGATTTTTATAAATAAATAATTATTATACTCACTTGGAATTGCAAACTTGAATCTAGAATCTTTTAAAACAAATAACTGTATGTTGCATTAATATAATAATCTAGGTAATAGCAACTTATGGATTTTGTTATATTTCTCCAGTGTCAGAATCACCTTCAATGTGAACCACACAGTGGACTCTGATGACCTGGAAGGAGAGGTGCAGCCAGAGAAGCAGGAGTTTGCAGAGATGAGGTCACGGCCTCAGTTCGAGGTAGACCTAGTCCGTGGTGATACCACACTTGGGTTCACCTGCTCGTTCCTCCAGGAGCCCCCACCAGCTGCTGGTGGAGCGGATGAATACAGTAAGTAGTTTTGATAAACAAACTTTATGGTCAACCTTTATTGTATATTATGTTGAAGTATGTATCACTCAGAAACACTTAATATATTTAAATAGTAAAAATTTAGGTAAATATAGGTAAAATGAATACTTGCGTAAACAACTGTCAATTTTATCATTTATTGTTGCACTAATAATAAATCCGATGAGGAAATTGTTGAGAACAAAATAGGATTTTAAACATGATCATTTGTTTTTGACTCCCTTCACAATTGCCACGCTCGACGTCGCCATGCAGTGGCATGATCGGGTGCCAAGTGTGGGGTAGAGTAACGCAGTCAAGTAGAATACCATTGCGCCACATGCCAATGTGTATGGAACAATACTGCTACAAACAATTTAAACTAAATTTTTACTCGTACATAAAATGTGTAATGCATAATTATGACTATTTTGCCACCACTGCCAACCATCTGAAATGCAGTGTGTCGTGGTTTCGATTCCCGCACGTAATAATTCTGGGTCCGGGACGTGGTGTTTATAACTTTTTTTGTTTGGTTGTTGGTATGGTGGGTATGTTGGAAATAAAATTTGGTACTTCAACCAACTCTGAATTCATCATTCATACACAGAGCTTATGGAATGCGAGAATGTGTGAATTAAATACATCTTTTGTTTTCAGTGTTTAGGAAATAAACATTATATACCCGTATTAAAAATAACAACAAGTGTTAACATTCATATTGTTTGGTATTACAAATAGTTTTTGCCTACATTTTTGTCTTTGTGAAGTGATTTTCTCAGTGTATTATTTCATTTCTTAAATACTGTGACTAATAAAACTTTCCATTACAGATGACGTATTCGGTATTGATGAGGTGACCATCTACAAGGGCGAATGGAACGACAAAGTCTACGCTGTTGCGGGAGACGTGCTTGATGGAGTAAGTTGATATAATTATGGAATAAGATCCTCTTTTTTTGTGCTATGTCGGCAATTGAGCGCACGGATTACCTGATGGCAAGCAATCGGCGCTTGTAATACCAAAGGAGTTACTACAAGTGCGTTGCCGGCGAGTTATTAGGGATTAAAGGATAAGGAATTGGAAGATAAGGGAAGAAATTGAGCCTCTTTAAGCTACCTTACTCATATGGCAGATTACAACGTAAATGTTGTTTCTTGCCAGAATTCTGTCAAGCTGTGCTCTCCCACATCCAAGTTTCTATCAGATTTAGAATTTGACATTTTGTTTCTAACAATTAATCTAAAAGTATTATTCTATTTATGTTTGTCAGTCAGCTTATTTGATAAGTATGAACAATCTAAGTTAATTCACAAAATCAGTCTTACACACAGAAAAGTTTGCTTAATAATCTACCAACCTCCAACTAAACCTAAAATTCACTATCTATACTAATGCTACCATGGTCTAATAGTTGAACGTGTGTACTTCTGATTCAGTGGTCTCGGGTTCGATTCCAAGCCGCCCCATTTCTATGCCACACTTGATACTATCATACAAGTAGTTGTCAGGTGCCAAAATCGGGGTAAATTGACGCATCGAAGTGAAGTCGATCTCGTAACGTGTAGACGGGATATTCATTGAAGTGCTACATTTTTATTTTAAAGTAAAAAAATGTTAATTACGTTATTTTTTACAAGTTTAAGTGTATATTGATCTTATAAAAATGAATTCTTCTATATTTTGCTAATTTTGACATATTTTTCTCTCTTTTTCAGTATCTTTACGACTTATTGATGAACCTGCTGGAAGAGAAAGGCATCAGCAACGAGTTTGTGAACAAACTGTCGGACTTTAGCACGGCGTATGAGCACAGCGCATACATCAAACTTCTCGAATCCGTATCCCAATTTACCATTGGAAAGTAATACTCGCCTTTTCTGAATTAGAAACTAGAGTATCAATAAAATGAACACCTACCTTGAAAATTCAGCCATAATTATGCATTGTTTTGAAATATCCATGCAGTTGGATGTTATGTTTTTCTTGTAACTGAGCGTATGTTGAACATACTTTTTTTTGTTAATAAATAAACTTTAGTCTTATTTTATTCATCAATTTCACTTGATTTCCACCGAATTTTTAAGGTATTTCTTCCCAAATTCATCACAGGAAGACTTAATTTAGAGTAAACTTGAATTTATTGTAGTTGCTCGCAATTGTTCAGTAACATTGTTAAAATATTTCTAAGCAACTCTCAAATTCACTTGAGGTTGCAAAGAGTGAAGCATTTATGCTGTAGACAGCTTTAAAATAATTTAGTTGTGTCATGGTGATGTTTTGTTTAATGTTAGTTATATGTTAGTTATTGTCTCAATAAATTGTTCCAATTACATTGTTTATTGTTTTATTATCCTAACTTATAGTGAGATACTAAATACCTATTGTGAAGTATCTGTTTTACTTGTACCAAACAAAAGATGCCTCGTCTTACCATGCCCTGGTCCTCAAGAGAAATTATGAAGAACTGCGTACATAAGTTGCATATTTCTCCTACCTATATGAAAGTAATATTTGTTATAAGTCTAAAAGGCCTAGTATGACAACCTACTCCTCGTGAGTAATTTTTTAGTTGGTTTGGTATTTTCACATCACCGAGACTGCCCAATACCTCCCGATATGTAATAATAAATGTGGTGGCCCTTCCCTTAGGTCGTGACGTTCGCTTCTCATGCATATGGGTGCGAATCTGAAACCTGGCAAGTACCAATGTGACTCCGAAATTTAAATTGCCAATCCGCCTTGATTAATGCTCAAATTTCCGTGAGAAGAGGCCTTTACAGTGAGAACTTATAGACTGATGGTAATGATGATCTATACTAATATTATAAAGGAGGTAAAATTTCTAAGTTTGTATGTAGGGGGTAATCTTTGGAACCGCTGGTCGGATTGCAAAAATTCTTTCACTGATAGATAGCTGCAATGTTCCTATGTGCTATAGGCTACAAAACATTACGCTACGATTAAATGAAGCCGTGCAGCGGGTGAAACCTTGTGAGAGTAGCTATTATGACTATAAATCAATTTTTCAACCTAATAATAAAAAATAAAAAAGTTGCAGTCATGTCTAAGATAGATTCTTATTGTTTTCTATCCAAATATTTGTCTGTTTCTTAACGGAATTTCTGTAGTTACCAAGATTATATTTATAAGCCAGATCTAACTCATCGAAAGTGAAATAAAAAAACTTACAAATTCAAATTATCCACTTCTCCCGCGTGTCATAAGTCAGCTGACATTCGCAAAATGGCACTCCGAGTCAGCTGTTTACTTGCTCAGCTGCAGTAATGTAATTTTTCTATCTCTTTCTTAAGTTGACACTTCTCCACGTAACACTTGTTCGACAGAAAGAGATAAATATAGTTTATCCAATAAGATATTTCATCGAACGACATGACCAATGGGGGCTCGTCTTACTTTGAGCTTATTGATAAGCATTTTTGTGACCAATAGAAGCACAGCAAACTGCATGAAGTTCGTGCAAATCTTAGCCTGTCTGACATCGGCTACAGCGTTGCCAGAATGTTACTTTTGTAACATTTTACGTTACTTTTGGCCCTCCAATGTTACTTCCATGTTACACCACACTCAATGTTACTTTTATGTTACTTTTGAGTATTTCGAACAAAATCGTGTATCGGAACGCACTTATTAATATAATTTTAAGTCATGTTGGCACGCTTGATAGAAAACAACATGGCGTTGTTGGACAGACTGGACTGACCAACCAATACGATTGTTTGTCAAATCTTAAATCTACTTATTCATTCACTCGTGTGTATTTTTCCATCTTTCATCCCGCTTACGAGTGAGAGAGACGACCGGAAAACCGCTCTGCGCTCTTGACGCTCGCTCGGTCGGTTCGGCGCTTGATTTTCGCAAACAAAGTTTGTTTATTTTAAGTATTGTGTTGTTTTGTTTGTGACTTTTATTATTAAGTAGTGATTCGGTAAGTTGGTAATTATTATGTTTATTATTGTTGTTATAATCTTATAAAATTTATCAACCAGTCGTGTTTGCAAGTGAACTAAATATAACTTTACCTAAATATAAATTTTGTTGTTGTCATTTCATTACAAGTAATAAGCAGATCATAGTGTTCCGTCCACCCACTGCCTTGCACTTAATACTTTTAAAAGCGTTTTTATTGTTATGTTACAAAAAGCATTGTTTTGTTTCTAGAAAAATAAATAAGGAAAGGAATAGGAAGTGGCCTGAGAAACAGCTAGCTGGTGCCGTAGCGTAGCCCTAGCTAGAGTTTGTTCTTCTTAATAATCGTCCCCACTAATAGTAAAACAACACCACTATAGGAGTGGAGTTCTGAAAAAAATAATGTAAGTACCTAAGATTTTTTTCTTCGCCGCTCCCCGTCACTCACTCATTGCTATGCCATTTACGGGGTGGCCAGATGCCAAAAAATAGACTATTTGTACGAAATTTTAGGAATATGAATCTAAAACATTTTTTAAATTTTATTATAGCAATAGGTATGTCATTAACTCGTAATTGTTATTAAAACATAGTCGTTACAACTTATAAAATAGGATTAGTTTTAATGGAACATAAAACTTTTAATTACGCTTAGGAGATATTTAGTAGGTACTTACAATTTTTCAGGGATGCATGCCTTTTTTGACTTGTTTTTAATGCACTAACTTTGTTTTTTTTATGTATGGTGTGATGATTAATGGAATGTTGCATGTTGTGCTGCTGCTTTTACTGTATTAACAAAATTAACATGTATCTAAAGAAGATGAAGAGGTTTTTAATTGCTAAACCCTCCACATCAAAAACAAGAGAAAACACAGAAAATGTAGAAGAGGTGACTCCTGATGTGGCACCTCTTCATGAGGTACCTCCTGATGAGGCTCCTCCTGATGAGGCTCCTCCTGATAAAGCTTCTCCTGATGAGGCACCGCCGCGAAAAAAAACCAAGCAAATTTATAATTTTAACGAAAAATGGCTTGAAGACACTTCTTTCAAAAATTGGATCTCGAAACGGGAGCAAAAAGCTGGCTCAGTTTCTGCATTTTGTAAAATTTGTCATTCTTACATACTCAACCATAGGCCTGCTCTCGTAAAACATTTGAATACCACTAAACATAAACAACATGCTGCCGCTATCAGCAAAACAACATCCATACAAGAAGTGCTTAGACCAAAAAAGGAAGAAGAGCTCAAGAAAAGAGCTGAACTCAAACTATGTGCTTTTCTCGCTGAGCATAATTTACCTTTATTGTTGTCCGATCATTTAATTCCGTTCCTAGCTACAACATTTCCTGATTCATCTATAATAAAATCTGTTAAGTTAGGAAGAACGAAAGCAGGAAATATGGTCAAAACAGTACTTGCCCCAATACTGACAGACGAACTTGTATCAAAACTCAAAAGAACAACATTCAGTATAATAATGGACGAAACCACAGACATAAGTGTCAAAAAACAATGCGCACTTGCGGTTATATTTTTTGATGTGGATGAATTAGTCGTTCACACTCAGTTCCTAGACATGTATGAAGTTAACTCGGGAAAAGGGAAAGATCTAACGGATGCTCTGTTAAATTGGCTTAATAATAAAAAAATCCCAATAAAAAACTTCGTAGGCTTTGCGTCTGATACCACAAACAGTATGGTGGGAGAACACAATTCAGTGTTTAGTCATTTGAAGGAACGCGTACCACACATTGCATGTGTGAAGTGCAGCTGCCACATGATACATCTCGTGGCTTCCAAGGCATGTCTCAAGCTACCAAGATTCGTTGAAGACTTTCTTAGAAATGTCGGTGCGCACTTTAACCGCAGCACACTGCGACAAGAAAAACTAAAAGAGTTGCAGTTATTTTTCAATGTGGAAGTCCATAAAATATTGAGCCCATCGGTCACAAGATGGTTATCATTAGAGGCTTGTGTAAACAGGGTACTCGAACAGTACGATATTCTGTCCGAATATTTTAGACTTGAATTGTTAGAAGACCCTAGCAAAATCACGGAAGATATAATTGGGGTACTCGACAATAAATTAACAAAAATTTACTTAGAGTTTATGTCATTTACATTGGAACAATTTAATGACTTTAACAGATTGTTTCAAACAGAAAAACCATTGCTGCACCGACTAAAACCAGAGACAGATAAACTTATAAAAACCATAGCTAGCAATTACATGATCTTCAATTATTGCAAAACAACCGATGCATATAAAATAGAATATGCCAACCCAAGATTTTTTGTGCCCCTTGATAAAATATATTTAGGTATAGCTGCACAGTCGTCCATTGATGAACTTTCAAAAGAAATACCAGAACCAAAAACGGTAATAACGGATTTCAAGAAAACTTGTCTCAATTTTTATATCGAAACCATAAAACAGATAGTACAACGTTTCCATTTTTCTGACCCGTTATACGGTATTTTAGATGTGATAGAACCAAGCATTGCTCAAAAATATGAAGTAAAGGATTTGTCAAATGTTTTGAAGAGATTCCCAAGTGTTAAAGAGCAAATAAATGAAATAGAGCTTCAAAAAGAATGGAAAAAACATGCTTTCCTGGACCACAACGATTTAGGTTTGAGTCAAAATCTGGAAGTGGAAGAATATTGGAAACAAATTTTAAAGCTAAAGAATATAGCCGGTACTGAAATGTTCCCAAATTTAAAAAAGATTGTAGGGCTCTTGCTTGTTTTGCCTTTTTCCAATGCTAGCGTGGAAAGAATTTTCAGCCAGCTTAAATTAATTAAATGCGAAAACCGGAATAGATTGAGCACTGAAACTATTTCTTCTTTAATGGCAACAAAAGCCAATATACAAAACGCCATAGAATTTGAGCCTTCTGCAAGAATGATGCATGCAAAAGTAGCATACAGCAATACTGGTGAAGGTATTAACTGTTATTTAACTAATTTACACAATATTTAATATCAAAAAGTTATATGCAACATTTTTTTATTTCTGCAATACTAAAATAAAGGCTTTTTTCAGGTTCCACCAGTTCCAATTAGCTTTCTTTGGAATATTTAGTAATTGTAAGCTAAAATGAATTATTATCTCTCTATTGTTGTGTATGTAAATCACAGGCACGACGAAGATTTAAATCAGGTTAGTATTGAAAGACATTCTTAAAATGGTTGGTTGTTATATTTAATTAATTAAACACACGTTTTTTACTTTATTTTTTTTTTAGCATCAGCAGTCGATTATTCGATCAAAAAACAATTATTAGCCACGAGATTAGCTACACTTATGACAGAAAATACAAGACATGTAATTATTCATTAATGACAAAGCTGGTTGGTATTGAACGACATTCGTAAACTGTGAATAACTATATTTAGATACAAATAACTGACTGTTACATTTTTATTTTCAGTATTGACAGTTCGATCAACAATAATAATTACGAATTGTTAAGTTTAATAAAGGGGCGGAAACTTTTTATAGTTTTTTTTTATAATCATTGATGACAAAGCAGGTTGGTATTGAACGACATTCATAAATTGATCGGTACTTTACAACCTAACTGACTGTTACCTTTTTTCTTTTCAGCGTCAACAGTCGATTATGCGATCAACAACACAATTATTAAAAAAATTTACTTTTAACCCTATAACGTATTTTGCCAGTTTCCACAAAAAAGACAGTGTATATTATTTTCATTAAAAAAAATACCATTATTTACGTATTTTTTCAGTTTCCACAAAAAAAAGGCAATGTTACTTTTTCTGACAAAATGTTACTTTTTGATCTGTCTCGTGTAACTTTTGACTATCGGCCTCTGGCAACACTGATCGGCTAGTAAATTGACTAAATTGAACGAGTTTCCATCTACCCAAGCAAAATGGCTGACGCGTCTTCGTCGGCGATGCGCGCAAAAAAAATACCCGATAATTTGTACGAGCTGTGTCTGACGAATTTAGTGAACTACTTGCAGAAATTAAAGTGCGACAGAAATGTGCTCCAAGGGATCCCGGACACGGTCCGCATGGATGTTTACTACAAGGTAAGTTATGCGATGCCACACTTGGCTCATTTGCTCTTATCGATAAAAAATACAGAGTATATTGAGTATAGCGAGGATACCGTTACTATTGTCAGATATTGTTTGTTAGTGATAATATCGCTATCAGCGCAGGGTTGCGGAGTGCATTTAATGCGGGCTTGGTATTGTATGGGTTGCTGTAGTGGCCGTGAACGTAGGCAGTGCGTGTGGTTGGAGCTAACTAGTCACTTTCACTGGTGCGCCGCTGCACTGCACCGTCATACGATTCGCTCTTTGTTACGAAACGCATACAGTGCATCGGCAACGTGCGTCGATATCAATTTGCCCACTATTGTGTTTCGTGCGGTCCATAAAAGTCCAATTTGTTGCTTTGTGAGGCAATAAAATGTTCGATTACAGCGTTCTCAAGTAGCCACTTCCTTGCACATAATGTCTATTCAATACCACATACTGTAGCTGCAGATAGTACAATGATGTTGAACCGTTTTGTGGTGGGTATCAAATAGTATCAACATTTAGTTTGACCCCCAGTAGCCAGATAATGTCCTCTTGTCTGTGAACAATAACATTTAGAGCAGAACCTCAATATGTCTGAGCTCTAACAATAAATAAAATTGGCACAGAACTCATAGTTTATCTGTAAAATGAGTGCCAGCACCATTTAGATTCGTAGATTTACATAACATCCATTCTCATTGCCTGATTTGACAGCTGTCTCACTAAGAAGTTTTGTATTCAACAAATGTAATTATTAGCATAGATAGCTTGTGAAGTGAGTATTACCTAAAAACAGCCAATATCAACTGCAAATTACCTTTGCTATTTTGTTAAAAATCATTGCTCAAAGTTAAGTTAAAAGGTTGAGCTGAAATATAAATTTCTTATAAGAAACTACTAGGTTGGATGAAGGATTGAAGGATGTTTTTATTGGTAGTTAGTTATGTTTTGTAGATTTTATGATGAATATGAAAATTTGGTAAACTTAATTAATTCATGCATTGGGTATTGTTATGCATTTTATTTTGTTTGCAAATGTAGAAATAATAAATGAATGGTGGTATCAGTATGTAAAACTGTGTATCAAATTATTTCCTATATCAGGATTTTATAGTCTTCAAATGGTAATGAACAAAACCAAATAGTCAAACTCAGTATTGTTTTGAAAGAAATCTAGAAATACATTTCAAAGTTTATACATATTCAAATTGTACTTATTTATTTAGAAAACCAACAGCGATACATGTGGTATAATACAAATAAAGATATAACTTAAAAATAATCATCATAAACTTGTGTTTGAAGGAGAATACATAATATATATAATTATCTAAATGTTCTAATGTAGTATTTTTTTTATAATTTTGTCTATGGCCTTCATGTAGTTGTTATGTAATTTATACCACAGACTTTTTTTATTATTAATTTCTTCCATTAATTATGCTTAAATAACAAGTAATTATTATAAATTCTTTGTCTTGTTAAGATGCAATTCCTTATCATTGGATATTATTTACTTACCATTAAAACAGTAGGATTATCTAATCTATAAATTAGTTGTTTATCTAACTAGGTAGTTGGTGGACTATCTTTTGTATTGTTAAATAATTAGATAAAATAATATCATAATGGTCACATGATATTTAAGTATTTTTGTGGTTTTGTTTAAACATTTATTGCCCTCCCTTATAACAGTTAAGTTCATCACAGAAACACATAGTAAGATGTTAGTCACTTATCATAACCTTAAAAAGTGCATATGAAAGGATACTTTTTCTAGCTCTATGCCCCGTGGACATAAATTCTTATGACCAATGATGATGCTAATGATAGTACGACCAAAGACTTGGACTGATTCATGCTACACCAGGACATGTCCGCGTCCACCCCCGGCCGTGGCACGGACGGATGACGATGAAATGTCTGTATAGTGTTATATGAAGTAATTTATGCATGTCTGTGCTGTGCGTCGGCCGTGTACCGGCCCGAGCACGGCGTTGGAAGGCCGGATTTTGTTTCCCGGCCCCGGCACGGTGTAGCATGATCATGAATCTACTGGCCTGGCCAGCGCACGGTGAATGTGTGCCACCCGGGGCACGGCCCGGACACGTTCCTACGTAACGTGAATCATCCTTTATACAACAATGCGTAAACACACTTAGTATTGTACAAATCCAAACAACTATCAATGTAGTATGTCAATCAATCAACAAAATTATACATTACATTTGTTGTACACACATTTACACACACGTATGTATGTATTGGTAAATAAAACTTGTTTGTCGATACATTCTGTGTATGTACACACAATTCCCATGTATCATTATGATTCGACAATATCAGAGTATCTGAAACAATGTAAATAATATTTTCTTTATTTTCGACTCTCAACGAAAATGTGAACTTACCAAAAATTTGGTTGTAAACATATACCTATGTTTACAAGCAAATTGTAGATCATCTACGTTGCTTGGAACCAATAAAATACCTGGAAAAATGAGTGTATATGACCCAATGACGTATTATATATAGACACGTCATGAACCAACATCGCGGCGCTTAAAAACGGCGAAAATACTAGATAATTACTTCTACGAGTAAAGAAAGGGAAAGAAAATATGACATCGTATAGTGGAATGACTTTGCTAGAGGGAGATAAATATACATCTTCCGTTATGCCGACGGCACGTGACTATACCTTCATTCGCCATAAGATGGCGGGCGCCGGCGTCGAAAAAAATAAAATAAAAATAGGTTGTTTGGTGAACTTACGCATGAAATTACACATTTTTGTCTTTAATTTTGGAGTATAATTTGTACATCGTCTGAACACACACGACGACATGCTTTCTTTATGTTTCGCACAGGTTTCACACACGATATAAATAAAAAACAAACGTAGCGTCGCGCGGCAGGTTGGTGCGTAACTAAGCGCGATGTGGTCAATTGCCTTCATTTCATGTTGTCATTCTAGAGCGCGGACAACGTATCTATAGTTTTATACATCATTGATATGACCTAGTCATCTGTTTACCCGATCTGGAAAAATGGCTGTGTGTTTTGTCAGTCAAACAATAAGAATAGTAGTGGTAAGATTTATAAGTTGTGGGCAAACCCAACCTTTGTTTCGGTTTTAACAGGTGTTATTGGCCTCAGCTGTCTAAAGTAAGGACCGAGGTTATTGTCATTTGAGACGTCTACGACACGCCCGAAATTGTAAGACACGCCTATAAAAAAATCTTATGCTTGCGAATACATTTGTTATTTGAATTACATGCTGTTCAAATGTAGTTTTGCTAGAGCTTATTGAGACCTACAAAAGTAATAGATTTTTATATTTCCCGATATTAGTTACGTCTTAGGATCAAACTAACTTTTAAACACGAACCCCTAGGTTTACCATTGAGGTTTTGAATTTTGAATCATATTCTCACCTACCTTCAATTCGAAATACAAAAATTGGCTCAGTATTTTAGGCATAGATTAAAGAAAAACATTATTTTGTAATAAGGCCATAAAGGTTCAGATTTAAAAAAGTTCAGATTAATCAGATAGGGCTGACTTTCTGATCTGTCTGTTCGAATTTCAATCACGGCTTTTTTTTTTCATAGTTTCCTGTAACGTATCAGTCAGTACGTATGTATAAGCATATACGCGTAGTTATACATATTATATCCTTCAATTGTCACGTCAGCCGATGCATTGGCAGAACGAATAAACGAACAACAATGCACTGATGCAACGCTTGCAACACATATACACCACACGTTCGATATCTGTCGACGATTCTGCCTAGTAATATTCACTCAATGAGTTCATGACGGGTCATGGTTCATCATCTTTTTTCTAACGTACTATTCAAATTAAAATTATTTCCAACGACCGCCAGGGCTGATATTAAATTTCTCCACTATTGAATGAATGTCATTATGTACATCTTCAATCACGTCAATCATTACACACCTTCCTCTTCAATCACACGTATCTATTTAAAAAAACCGCATCAAAATCAGTTGCGTAGTTTTATAGATTTAAGCATACATCTGACCCTATACATCTGATATAGGGTCAGAGAAAGCGACTTTTTTTTACCTACACTGTGAAGTGATGTTATGTCCTGTTTTTGTAATTTTTCTTACGATGTCAGATGTCACGTAATTTCAGTGCCTATTACATTTTTCGATATACTTAGATATAAAAATACCAGTTTTTATATTGTAATAACTCATTGGTATTATTTATATTGCTTACACACTAATCTTACCCAATTTCTTTGGATGAATCCTCACTTTTCGTGTCTAACTAGAATTAAATTTTAATAATTCGACTAGGCCACAGTGGCTGCATTGTATAACTAATAATGGCTACTGCCTTTTGATGAAAACATCATATTACGTCACACATTAGTTTCCTCATGTGGGCAGTAGACTCGTTTCTCCACATTTTTGTTAGTCTTATTTTTAGCTTTAATAGCATTTGTCGTTAAATTTATAATTAGGAACCAGTCGACTAAGTTCAAAACATGAAAATGGCTAGAAAATAGGTAACATGCAGGAGGATTCGCATTTAAATATACGTCAACCCCCAACAAATACTGATAGGGTTGCCAGGCGGAATAAGGCAGCCCAGCCTACAGTAGGAGCAGGGTTTTGAGTCAGTAAGAGTCTTACACTCCCTCTCGCCTCACCCTGGGCGAGAGAAGTCGTTGGAGGATGTTCCCCTCACAAAAAACCCTTTAACATATGGATCGTGTTAGCAAGTTCAGTGTAGCTGTAGAATCCTTTACTCATTTTCCTCAAAGGTTTGCAATCGAGAAAGTCCTTTGATCAACTTGCGAATGTGTGCATGGCGCGCTCTCGAATTCGCGAAAGGTCGATTGTAATGCGACAAAGCAGACGCATCGAAAGTGTGCGCCAATCTGAATACTGATACGAATTCCTTTAAAAAGCAATCGTTCTCATTTTTCTTTGTAGAAAGTTATTTATTGCGTGGCGAGATGA